AAAGGCTGAGTCCTACCACAACAAAATAAGCAACTTTGCTTACGCAAAAATGATTACTTATTCCCAGAGTAAACCAAAAGGCTCCACTCAGAATACCTCAGCTACAGAAAGCAGCTACAGAAAAACACAAATTAGAAGGCAACCCAAGCTCTTACCCCTATTCTGTTGCTAAACAATTTCAGCCATGCTGTACAACAGCCCCTACCTTTGAAATGAGAATGTTCTCCTTGGGAAATTACTTGAAGATCCTTTTGTAAACATAGGAGTCTGACAGATCTAGAAACAAACTCTCAGTCTTACAGAAGAATGAATGTTTCCCAAAGAAGCAAAGTCATAAATGATGGCTGGCTTTGCCCGTGAAATTCCCCAAAGCTTAGCTCACCCATCGCATAACAGAGGCACCTGCTTCTGCAGTTGTAGAAATCTGAGCACATGGGGATTGCTTCTGTAGGCAAATGCACCTGAATTTCAAACAAAAACATCAATTTCTCTGCAGGTGGAGTGTCTACTGCAACTTTAAAATGGGGCTTGACTCTTCAGTTTTCAAAGTTTAAACACACACACAAAAAATTAAGAATGCCAGAGTTAAGAAGCATTACATAATCTGACATAAAAACAAGTCACACGATAACACAGAATTTTACGTCTAGAAGAGACGTTCGAGATGATCTGGAACAACCTTTTATTTTTAGCATTAACCCTACATAGTAGGAGTTACTAATATACAACGTCTCTACTTCGAGTTCACTCAATAGAGAAAATAAAAATCCAAACATTGTTAAAGGCTATCAGGCATGCGTAATCCTCTCTTTAAACACAGGGCCTCTTGGCAAGGATTTTTCTTTTTTCTTCCCTCAGAATTAAGACTTCAACCATCCTAGATGGAAATGCGAGTATATTTTAAAACCTTTTAGGGTTAATCTTACACCAATGCCACCACCTTCCATTTAAATAGTTCTGCTTGCTAAGGAATTCCAACACATTTCATTCACACATTCCGGGCACACAAATCTTGAATGTGAACAGACGCCCCCGCACTTACTCCCTGACCACTGGGGGCAAGTCACCTCGTATTTCCAAGCCACAGTTTCTTCCTTCATAAAATGGAGAGAACCTAACTTCAGGAGTTCACAGGGATACAAGAACCAAATCAAATGACGTGAAAACATGTTTGGGAAGAGTACTGACACACATATAAATGCTTATGATTATACGATCTCCAAATTCCCACATTTCACTAAAAGAAAGAATTGGGCTCCAAATGTGCACACGTAGAACCTGAATGGCTTAGAGCTGCCGAGGTGGCATTACACACTTTACAACCAAACAAGTCTCCAGCAACTCTTCTACCTAAAGCTCCTTCTGGGAAAGTAGAGGAAGAGGTTAAAACTTAGGCATCCACATTTTAATATTTTCAAAGGTGGAGCGCACAGTTTCAGTACTCCCTCTTGAGGGCAGGAACAGTACCTTAGTCATCATTTTGCTACAGTAACTGCCAGACCAGCTCTGTGCTTACTATCAGAACACACTCTTCCAGAGTAAAAGTGAAATGTTCATATAACATATATGAGGCAGAGAGAAGTCTGGCCTTGGAGTCAGCATACTTGCTCTCACACTGCACACAGCCTTGCACGAGTCCCTCAGGCGTCCCAGCCTTCACTTCCCTTTAAAAGCCTGCACTGTGGGTCTGTAACGCCCCTTATCTGACGTCAGATATCCACCCAAAACACTGAAAGAGGGCCTCTGAGTGACAAAAATGGAAAAACGTTTCTCACAAAGTCTATCACACACTTTATCTATGTAGAGACTTACTGATTTTTATTTCATGTACATTTGTAACAAACTTGGTTATTTCGTTATGAAATGTTTCCCACTGTGAGTTAAAAGCAGTGAAACAGATCGGATGCCGAAGGAAAGAGAAACTGGAGAACCCTAAAGCTTCCTCTTCCTGACACATGGAATGAAACCAAACCTTCCCCCAAATGTAGGTCAGATTCAATCCTAAATCACACGACGGCCTGATATCACAGAACGTTTGACGAGTCATTCATTATGGTAGTCTCCATCTCTTAGGCCAAATTAGACTCAATTCATGATCGATTTAATTCAACCCTTCATTACGGGAAAACAGAATAACGCTCAGCAAACACCGCATACTAACGCTATCCACCATCACCCTCCTCATTACCTGGGAAGAATTCTAAAGCCCTCTTTTATAGTTCACTTTTCTACTCAAGTAATCTCTTCACCAACCGCTCTTGTTTTATTTTTCACTTCGTAACATTAATGGAATCACAAAGGAAAGGTCATCTAATTTTAACTGCAAGTTGACTTTTGAGTTATCTAAGAGGCATTTCACATATAGCAATAAAGTGCCTTATTTTACAGAAATAATTTTACCCCCAATGATGCTAAGGTACTTTAAAGAAGTACAGTGTTACTATTCGCCAACTAGAGGCGGTCAGCTCCTTCAAGGCAGCGTCCACCATTTCTGAACCTTACAGCACGTGACAGACGACCACAGCCATCAGAATACTTCATAAATATTTCTGATATTGGCTTTGAGAGGACTTTGATATATCAGTAATGCAAATCCAAATGCATGTAATTCTTTTGGCAAGTTAACTACACCAAGAATCTTGTGCAAACTCTGAGACATTCACTAGATGTAATGTACGATGTAATGTTTATTGAAAAATATCAGGGTCAAAATTATATATGAAAATATAAAATATTAAAACACATTTTATATATGTATATAAATTACATATTATATTAAATATATTAGCAATATATAACATATATTTTTGTATTTAAAATTTTAATTAAAAATATAATATATATTAGATATAAAATGTAAAAAATTATACATAAAGTATCAGGATATGGGGCTGGCCTGGTGGCACAGCGGTTAAGTGCACACATTCCACTTTGGCAGCCTGGGGTTCGCTAGTTCCGATCCCAGGTGTGGACATGGCACCACTCAGACAGCCATGCTGTGGTAGGCGTCCCACATATAAAGTAGAGGAAGATGGGCACAGATATTAGCTCAGGGCCAGTCTTCCTCAGGAAAAAGAGGAGGATTGGCAGCAGATGTTAGCTCAGGCCTAATCTTCCTTAAAATATATATATATCAGGATAAAAATTACATGTGAGGGCCAGCCATGGTGGCCTAGTGGTTAAGTTCAGCATGCTCTGAGTTGCTGGCCTGGGTTTGGTTCCTGGGCACCGACTTATACCACTTTGTTAGCAGCCATGCTGTGCTGGAGGCCAACACGCTGAAAAAAAAGAGGAAGAGTGGCATGGGTATTAGCTCAGGGCAAATCTTCCTCAGCAAAAAAATGAAAAATTACATATGAAATGTAATTACAATTTTGTTAAATCCATGCATTGGAAAAAAGACTGGAAGGAAATGCACAGAAAAGTCAACAGTAATTGTGTTTGGGTAACGAGACCATGGCTGACATTTTCTCGTGTTCATATGCTAAATCTTATTTAATGAGTATGTACTACTTTTACAATGAGACAATTTTTAAAAAAGAAAAGCAAGGAAATAAATGGGAAAGAGCACAGCTTAGAAGAAATGGCAGAATTAGAGCAGTTAGTTACCATTTAGTAAGTGCTATACACTTTTACCCTCCCAAGGAAATTTTTAAGTGATCACAAATGATAACTAAGTTACAGAATATTTGTGCTGGAGAGACATCCTGTCTAATTTTGTCATTTGACAGCTACAGAAAAAAAATTATAGCTATATGATGCTTTCCAGTTTACAAAGTGCTTTCGGAAATATCACATCACCTGTCTTTCAAACAGTCTGTGAGACAGGTTGATACGCCCCATTTTAAGGATCAGGAAACTGAGGGTGAGAGAATGTCCTTTAACAATAACATCTATCATTTATCGAAGGTTTACTATGTGCCAGCCTCTGGGTTAAGCACCGTGATCCTGTGAAAACTGTCATCATTTTACAGATAAGAAAACTGAAGGGCAGAGGTTAAGTGTGCTCACTCTCTTGCAGCGGAGAGTCGCCGCTCCGACCTGAAGCCACACACTGAAAACAAGAGTCCTGCGTTATAATCAACCTCACTGAGTCCTTCAGTGGAAGAGCTGAGCTATGAGCCAGCCCCGTGCTCTCTACACTGGTCTCCTCGCCTACGGTTTCTTTTCAGTTACTTAGTTTGACAGCCACTATGAAGGTCCAGAGGCAAAGGGAGTAGGCCCAGTCTTACCCAAAAACTAATGCTGGCGGAGGGCCTTCGTCCTAGGAGGAAGGCAAGGCAGCGAACAACTACAGCGGAGGGGACAAGCCAACAGCCTTATATACATCAAGGGGGAGCCAGAACCTCAAGAACAGGGATAGCAACAAAACCCACAATTCCTGCACCTTACACTCGCGTAACTCGCGACCATTTCCAGAGCGCCTTTCGGTTCACCTCCAAGAATTCCCGCAACAGCCCACGGGCTGGGCGGGCGGGCATTAGCACCACTTTACAGAAAAAGCTGGAAGAAACGCAACAGTGGGGCGGGCAGGAAGAAAAGCAAAGAAGGGAAGAACTAGGGGTAGACACCTGGGGGGACTGGGCACCCCGACCGAGTCTGAGGGGCACCCGAGGAGCCACAGGCCCCTGCCGAGCGGAGGGACAGCCCAAGGCCCACGGCAGGGACAAGGAGCCAGAGGGAGGCCGTGGTGCTGAGGCTGTCGCCCGCCCAGGCCCGCGGGTCCGGGAGGTGGCCCAGGAGCCTCCGTACTCACGCTGGACCAGCCTGTCCCCGGTGAAGGAGGAGGAGCAGCTGGTGACGAGCGCGCAGGGGACGCCTGCAGCCATAGCCCCGCTCGCGAGCCGGTTCCGTCCGGGAGCCGCTTCCGCCTTGGGCTGCACCACGGCGGCCGGCGCGCGGGGGAGACACGCCAGGACGGGCGCGTTCTCGGAACGGCGCGGCTGCCCTGACTCCTCCCTCGCCCCCTCTTCCGCTCCCGGCTTAGAACAGGCCAGGCTGCGCTTGGTGTTGCCATGGGGACGAGCACCCTCCGCGGGCGGTTTCCGCGCCTGGGGACTGCGTCCTCCGCTGGGAGGCATCCCTCCCGGGTCCTAGCCATGGCGCAAGAGGCTGAGAACTGCGACCCCATTGGAACCATCTTAATCCAGGTGGGAAATGGGTCTTTCCCAGCCCTGCCCAGCTAAGACCCTTCTGAGCGAGCTGCGGCAGCGCAGATCTACTTGCGCCCACCCATTTGGAGCGGTGCCCCCAGAAGGCCTAGATCACGCGAGCGGCACCACCCCTCAGAGAACTCCCAAATATGCCAACCCAGATCTGGTCCACTAGCCGCCTCCTGTGCCTTACACTGGAGGTTGCGCTCCAGAAGCACGACCATTCTGCCTCTGTTATAACTCGAAAACCATACACGTCACGCCGGAACCTTTACTTCGGAAAAATCCATCTTACACTGAGGCACCATGTTAAAAATGTTATGTTCTGAAAAATTTGAATCCATGATGTGGGGGCGATACAAATCAGCCACACTGGGGAGGTGATAAATTTGGGGAGAAATTGAAACGTGTGAACTGATTTTCTTAAGCACCCAAATTTTGGGGATCTAAAAGTTCCTTGCAAATAAATGAGTCCTGGGGATGTAATGTACAGCATGGTGACTATAGTTAATAATACTGTATTGTATATTTGAAAGTTGCAAACAGAGTAGATCTTAAAAGTTCTCATCGCAAGAAAAAAAAATTGTAACTATGTGTGGTGATGAATGTTAACTAGACTTATTGTGATGAGCATTTAACAATATATACAAATAGCGAATCATTGTGTTGTACACCTGAAACTGTTATATGTCAATTATATCCCAATAAAAATAAACAAGATAAAAGTCCGTTGCTTGGGAACACACACAGAACAATATATTAAAGATAATGGATTGCAAATCAAGTTAAAGTTTTCAATATGAAAATGTGACAAATTTAAAAACTCTGGGAAATAACATTTTCTAATCTGAGGAGGGGAAATATCAAGAAAGTCTTTACTTCCCCAGTACAACTCAGTTTGTGACAGTTACACTCAGATTTTTCCAAAATGGGAAAAGCATTTTGTTGTTTTTTCACATTTACATATGGTAGTTTTAAAACATTTCCACATATCATCCCTTTTAACTTTTGTATTTAGCTCTATTTGATTAAGGCTTGAAGTGATTTGCCTAAGGTCACTCTATTAGGACTTTCACTCAGATCTGCAATGGGTCTAATTTTTCTTCCTGATTTTGGTCTGTTGTCTCCCATCTGGGAGAGACTTCTTTAAATTCACCTTTTCCAAAATACAAACCCCTACCCTCACCAATTTCATAGACTTCCCTATCATGAGTCATACCCAGATCATCTTACCTCACCTTTTATTATCCTCTTTCTCCATCTCCCTAGAATGAGTTTAGCCAAACTGCAAAGTCTGAGGGAAGTCTCTATAAGACTGCCCTCACTGTGACACCAGGTGCAAGTTCAGGGGTCGCCAGAGCCATCCTCACTTCAGACCAACTGTCTACAAATTTGGGGGCCCCGACCACCTCACACTGGCTGATTTGCTAGAGCAACTCAGACTAATGCATTTACAGTCTCTAGTTCCTCTAGAGGTTGGAACTGATGGGAGCATGGCTCAAAGCCCCCATCACAAATCACATTGTTAGACTGTCTGGTGGCCAAAGCCCTCAAGCAAAGCCACTCCTATCAGGCAGGACACTCGGGGCCTAGAGATCACCTCCCCCAGTGTCCAAGGGCAAAGCCCAGACCCTTCTTTGGGAAGAGCTAAGAATAGTCACATCCATGCTGATCAGCACCCTACTTGCGGGTGGAGGGCTGTGTAGAGAAAGAGAGCTTACCTGTTAACCTGATTATCGAGGCTGGTCTCTGGATACGGTGTAAAACCCTCCCTGGTACCATGTAGACTGTCTATAACAAGGAAATGTGGAGACTCGACTACTCTCCTTCTGAGTCCCGAGTGTTCGTGAGCACACAGCACCACTCTCAGACATGCCAACAGATTTCACTTCTACCTGGGGCTGTGATCTGCTTCCTGCAAACAGGCTGCCAATAAGCAGTACCTCTAGTGGAGAGAACGCTTGGCTGGGAGTCAGAATCCTGAGGTCTGACCCTGGCAATGACACTCTTCCAGTGGCTCACTGGCTCATCACTTCACCTCTCTGGGCCTCAGTTTTTTCTTCTGGAGGATACATAGCTGGGATTCGATCCAACTCTGATTCTAAATTGGCCCAATTTCCCCAAAGCTACATCATTTCTCTTTACTGTAAAGTGGACTTCCTTTGCTGTTAGCCTAGGCAATCGAATTGTTTCTGTCAATTTATATATTATATATATTTGCCAGAAAAGCAGAGGTACTTCAAATCTCCACTTGTTTCACCCTAATAGAGTACGTGAGGTCTGGGTCTCAATCAGATACCTGAAGCAACTCTTAAGATGATTAGTTCTCAAGCGTGGTCCTAGGACCAGCATCCTCAGCACCAGCTGGGAACTTGTGAGAAATGCAGATTTGCAGACCCCACTCCAGACCTACTAAATCAGAAGCTCTGGAGGTGGGCACGAGCGACCTTTTTTACAAACCTTTCGGATAACTCTGATGCACACTCAAGTCTGAGAGCTACTGCTTGAGATCATATTGTAAAATAGGAGCTGTAATATGATTTCAAAGAAAAAGAATCAAAGCTAACATGGTGTTTACCAGGTATCATGCACGATTCTAAGTGCTGTGTATATTTTAGCTCATTGAATCCTTACAACAGAGCTATCACATAAGTACAATTATTATTTCATGCTATGGAAAGGAAACCAACCAAAGATGAGCATTGCGGGTAGACCCATATACATAGAAAACGTAAGCAATCTTCTCAAACCCTCCATCAATCATGGTAGAAAAAGAAAGTCTTTTTTGAATCCTGCCTTTTCCATTGAATTTTCCCCAACCTTTAGTTTTGTATATTTATAAATTTACATTAGTATATTTGTAGATATTATGCATGCACTGGTTAGTGGCTAGGCTCGAAGGCTCTGGATTCAGACTGCCTAGATTAACCAGCTGTGTTACCTTGCACAGGTTACTTAACCACTTTAAACCTCAGATTTCCTCAAGTATAAAATGAAGATAATAGTATAAACTCCCTCTTAGAAGGCTTCTAAGGATTAAAATATAGGGTAACACATAAAGTATAATACTCAACTTAGGTCTAGGGTGGGGCCTGAAAATGTGAATTACTAAAACATTCCCAGGGGAAGCTGGTGCTGCCCCAGGCACCAAGGCTGGGATGAAGGTGCCATTAACAGAGAGAGGGAAGCCAGGAGGAATCCACTCTTTATTTACAGAGATCCTGTTTTTATTTAAATTTTGACATTGTATTCATCATAAAGCTTTGCATTAATTTTGAGGTTTTTAAATCTTTCATTATAATATTTATTTGAAAAAATACTCAATAGATGTTAGTTATTGGTAGATCTAGTCGCTTCCTCTTTAATATTACTTAGTTTTATGTACATTCCTTTGTCTTTTCAAAGTTATCCTGCTTTTTACTCTAAGCTACTGGAAGAAAAGGAAAAATTGATTTTCACCTGCCTTTTTAACCAGGATTACTCCATTCTCGACTAGAACTTTACGGGTGTTGCTATTTGGCAAAAAAGCTACGCCTTGTTTCCCTGATGGAAGCTGATCTTTTGGATGTCCCATTTTACCTGGCACAGGATTGGGACATAGATCCTGGGTCTCTGGATAATGATCTACTCATTAATTCAGTCTCCAATAATGTATGCTATGTGCAAAAATGAATGGAACTGGAATAACACTATTATTTAGAAAATATAATAGATGGTACAAGTTAATAATGAAGGTAGTATTTTGATAAAATGTCTAAAATACTTAAGAGAAAATAAGTAAAAAAAGGTCAGTGCTCTAAATTATAAACTCTTTGACTTACTGTGAAAACGTGCCTTATATGTTTGGATTTTTCAGGGTAGTTCTCACTGTTAATATTCCATCCCATCGTCAGATCATGTATCAAGGTCCATGTTTTTAGTTTTGGTTCAGGAAATATGATTATCGTCTCCACGTGGAGTTCTACTAGGCAGCGTTTCGTTAACTACTACTTTCACTTTCAAGTCTATAATTCAGACTTTTTGCAATTTTAGCGGGATCTTTCCTCAACTAATCAGAATAGTGGGGTTTTACTATAGTGGTAACAATCATCATTGTAATTAAAATGGTAGCCAATTTTTAGTGAGAGCCAGACGCTGTGCTGAGAGCTTTAGATTATCTCAAGTCCGAACAACAACTTTACTAAGCAGGTGTTACTTTTAGCCCCATCTGCAGAAGAAGAAGCTAAGGTACAAAGCTGTAAAGTGACTTGCCCACGGTGATAAATCCAGTGGGTCGATCATTAACGGGTTACGGCATGTTTGTGAAACAATCTTGAAGAAGTTTGGTGTTGACTCTGGGCTGTTTCCTGGGTGCTTTCATTCATTAGCAGCTCTTAGAAGCTTTGTTTTTGTGCTTTATTAATAATAACGTCCTGCCTTTTTAACACATCTTTATAAATGCTTGCTTGACCCAACAATTAAACATACGTTTGTGCAAAGCAAGGATTACCTAGTCTTGCAATCAAAATTAGCTTTTTAATTAGTTTTGGAAATCATATTTCAAAAACCCAACAGTTGTAATGTTAACACCAACCTTGTAAATATCGGAGCTAATTGACAGCTTGATATTTCACTGTCTTTTTTATCAATCCCTCTGTCTGGTTTGCCAGGAGCATACAACATAACAATGAATGGGAAAGTGATGAGAATGACTTGGCCAACCTCCATCTTTAGAAGAGACGAATCAAATGGGATTACAAGACTGCTTTTGACAATATGGAGCCCAATTGCATGGCTCTTTTAAATTCTAGAGCAAATCTTTGACATTAAATCTTTCAAGGGCTTCTATTAAGCAGCCCTGTCCCCAAATTGTCAAAATAATAATCTCCCTCCAAGTAGGAAGTGTATGGAAAGTGATGCATTTGATGATCACGGAGATGATGAGATGACGGGTGACACGTAAAATAGGAGAAAGAAAGAAAGAACAGAGATTTAGAACTTAATCTCTTTTCCTACTCAAGTCTGGTGACACATTTCCTACAATACTTGCCTCTATTGCAATTATACAAACAGATGTGTGGTTGTTAAAGGCGAGAAAAAAGTATATGGTAAGAAAGGTAAAAAGCTCTTGAGAAAGATTAGGAGAGCAATTCAAATCAATGGACATTTACTAAGTGCCAGTTATGTGCAAGGAGTCTCACTAGATTTTACAATTCAGGAGAGGAGAATTTTGTTCTGTGGCCTCCTGTGTGGCTGGTCCTGTACAAAGCACTTTACATACTTTAATTCATTTTGTTCTTGCCAGTATTCTGAGAGGTAGCTATTTATCCCCATTTTACAGATAAAAACAGTGAAGTTCTAAAAAGCTAAGTAAATCTGCCAAGATCAGTTTAGTAAAGGAGGAAACAGAACTCTAGTTCATATCTGTCTGGCTCCAAAGCCTATATTCATTCATTTTCACATGCATTGCCTCATTTTCATTAAACAATTCTATGAAGTAGAGTAATTCTTTTGTTATCCCTTGGTGAAGAAACTAGAGAAAATATGGATGGTGCACATGGACATCTTAACTATGTACCAGACCAATTACATATTATCTCAGGACTCCATGAAGAAGTATAATTGTCCACACAAGCCAGATGAAGAAATCAGACCTTTGGTTCCCTGATAAGTAAGCCGGTGCAGTGTTCACTCCCTCCCACAGCTGACAGGTGTAATTACAGAATGATACATGAAGCTGCAAATACTGCAGATACTAGCGCTCCGAGAGGGAAATTCAGTACATACAAAGGATGAACCAAAAATTGTGGGCCTGGAAGTGGGGCTTGCCCTTGAACTGCTTCTTTGTACTTTCCAAATGTCTTTAGACAATAGATGGTCAATCAGCTTGCAACAGTAATTTGGACAAAACAATCGAGAGAAGAACATCTTCATCCTCAGTGCCTACAAGCAAACAGTAGGTGTGTTCAGATTTCAATCTATGAGCCCTGAAGGCTTTCCACGACAATTTGTGCAGAGTACAAATGACCAGGTGTGTCTGCCAAGACTGTGATGCCCATTGGTGAAAAGATGCAAATTCTGATCTTTTGAATCCTTGGCTCCGTGGGAACATTCGAGAGGTAATCGATAACATAGGCTGGATCAAGGTGTAGGTCCAGTTATACCAACACAGAAAAGGTAACTGTTTCAAAATGCCTTTAGCAACCCAGTCTGCAGATTGTTATTGGTGTGAGTATTGCTGAAACAGGTGTTGGGTTCATACTTTTGCATAACAAAATGTTTTTCTTGTGGCAGCAGCCCATACAATAATTGGTGCCATCTGTATTTATCCGCAGAAGTTTGGTTTCTAATATGAAAGCAAAGAATCTTATGCTGTCTAATTTCGTAGTGCCCATTTTATTCTGAGGGGGCTTGCCATCGGAGAGATGTTCATCATTTCCAAGGGTAATACACACTGAACGAAAATGTTACAGTAATAATATGTTGCTTTTTCTTTATGGATCATTTTCATTTCTGACTATATAAAATAAAATCAAGGCCATACACCTATGGAGCTTCTTCAGAGCTGTAAGTGGGGAAGGTCCAGCCAGAATGGAAAACTAACAGGCCCTGCCAACATATTTACAATTCTCTTTTTAAAGGCACTGCTTCTATTAGAACCTCTCTTTACTGGAAGTTTTCTGTTTTCTCACCTCTTAACCAATTAGTAGAAATTGGAATCTGGCACAAACTGCTTATCATCTCTGGCTCAACTGCTTTACCCTCTGAGAAAGCTCAATTGTGGAGTTACAGTTTTGTCTTGGATCTCTTACTAAAAGAGGAAGGACAAATAGAAAGTCGTATGAAAGCTTAGTTTCTTTAATTCTGAAAGACAATAATGGAATATTCTAATAAAGCATATTTTAGAACCACAGAGACTGTCCTTTTCAATGAATACCATAAAATTCAACTTTATTATCTCTAGCAATTCAAGAAAATTGCAAACCTTTAAAATAACTGTTGCAGGTGGACTATGTACGTATTTTTTCAATATTTTATATTTTTTATCCTTATAGGTCCATGAAGACCTTTATCAGTTAAAGGAGAAATTAACAAACTTCCCACTTGAGGAAAAAGGAGAGACTTTAGACATTCGGAATCTTGAAACAGCAATCAAAAGGACTGAAGTGGGGTTAAAAGTAAGCAGAGATTTAGATATTAAATAAGAGATGGGAAGAAGACAAAGATTCTTCCAGAAGAAAAGAATTGCGGTTCTCACAGGACGCTGTATAATCCTGTGACAGAGGTGGACTTAGATTCACCTCTCATTCCTTTCCTTTTATTTCGTGATAATGATGATTATTAACTGATTGATTGGTTTACATCCTGAAACAATCCACAAAGAATTTAAAATACTGATAATCTAAGATTATGCAGTGATAACCCTAAAATGTGGTTTGATAAAAAGAATTTTGAATTTAAAAAATAATCACTATTAGTCCAACAATATGCCTGACCAAAAAGAATTCATACCAATCCATTGCAGAGAGTTTCCATCAAATTCACTGGATTCTAAAAAATAAGAGGACTTTTCCCAAATAGCTTAAATATTTTGAGATTTGTCATTTTTTTTTCTTGCTTCAGAGCTCATGGGTTTTTTAATGAGGAAGATTGGCCCTAAACTAACATTTATTGCCAATCTTCCTCTTTTTTTTTTTTCTCCTCAAAGCCCCCCAGACACAGGTGTATATTCTAGTTGTACACCCTTCTAGTTGTGCTGTGTGAGATGCCACCTCAGCACGGCCTGATGAGCTGTGCTAGATCCCTGCCCAGGATCCGAACTGGCAAACCCTGGGCCACCAAAGCAGAGCACGGGAACTTCACCACTCAGCCACGGGGCTGGATCCTTGAGATTAGTCATTTTTGTGATATTGTAACACAGTGGGTAAAACTAAAGAAATATACTCATATTGGAACAGAGGGAAAAAGCAGATAGGGACTTCATCATTATAGATGGATCTAAGGGCAGGGGAGAATCCAATCTTCAGACCAGGATAATATTCATTTATAAAACAAGGATGTCTTAGTACATGGGTCAAATAAAGTCCAGCTCCATCTTCTAGATCTCTAACTGTCAGTGTCTCTGCTCTTGCTTCAGACTTTCACTCTACCATGTTATCACTTCATTGCTCAGCTCCGGAGGCAGTGAGGGAGCTGGTGTATTTTGTAGCCTCATGAGACTAGCACATCATTGTCCTATATTACCTGATGGTGAGCGGGCTGGGCCCAGCTGGAGTCTTTGGGTTGGCCATTTTAAATAATCTGTTACCTAAAGGCCAAATTCTTTCCTCAGATGGATGCTTGCTTGAAGTGCTCATAAGAGAAAGACATTACTCCATGTCTGAATTGCCTAGAAATTTACCTGGCTAAGCAATTTACTGACTATTGTGCATAGTTTCATTTGTGACAAGGTCTACAGGTCACTCAAGCTTTGAGTCTCAGTTGTTTATTATGCTTTTTGGGATAGTTAAAGTAATTTGGCCTTGAGATGCCTAATGATACCTTAGGCATGTGATAACCACATAGCATGTTGTCTTTTGCCTTAATTACACTATTCAGAGTGTTAACCTAATGAACTGGAGTAAATTAGCTGAGTATCTTAAGTCCACTATAATGGCCTAAACTTGAACTTTTCTGTAACAGATTCACATTGAGAAGTATTTAAATGTTGTAAACCAACACGTGTTAACGATTCCTGTTAACGATGATAGCGTATTTTCTCCTCACACTTCCAAATGGTAAGTAAAATAGCCATTTCGGGGTCCAAAATAAGTACAATAAAAAAATAACTTTTCTTGCTCAGGTGAGATTACTGTAAAAACAAAATTTTCTTGGCTTTGTTCATATCCATTCTACTAATTTCAGTAGAGGTTTTGCATACGAAGTTAATGGCAGCATTTGGACTTTAATAAAGTTTATTCTGGGTTACTTTTATTGAGTTCTAACGCTTGAAACCATGATAATTATTTCCAGGTCCTAGTTTTGGTGTTACTCTTTTTTTTTTTAGTGAAAGGTATCCAAAATTCAACTCCTAAAGGAAATATTTTAATGTAAATCAATTTTTACACTATTCATGTGGTACTTTCTATACAATTTTTAGTATGTCATATGTGCTTTATTGTAAAGATGATTTTGGTATCCAGGGTAAACAAAACAAAAATAATAAAACTTGCCTGAAATCCTCCTTATGTAATACATTCCTAAGAGATGATTTATCAAAAGTAGAATTGAGTTAAAGAGAAATGACTTTGCCTCGCTTTGGACCTTCTCACATATAGGCTTCCTGAATTTGAGCGTACGTAGATTAAGGTTTTGTACTAAGCTTAAAAATCCTGTGGCCCTATTTGCATTGTAAGTATACACCAAGCATAAGTGAATAATATCGGACAGTGAGGTCAAGTTTCAGAAACAGTGCACGAGGAAACATGGAAACGTACTGGCATAGCCAAGTCCGGCACTCAGTATGGGGAGCAGGGCCTTGGATAAAAATCGTACCTGCCTCCTTTCCCCCACCTGATGTAGAGCCACAGGCATCCGTCATCCCCTGGTAGAGACAGCCCTTCCCTGGTCTGTCTAGGTTTTAGTCATTTATGTCTTTGATTTTTACATTTGGGAATTAAAATAAGACCTGCAAATAGGTTAATATACACAATCTTTTAAAACAAGGAATCTGTAGGGAAAATAATAACAAGGATACCATCTTGGAACAAAAAGCATACATCACATATGACAGGAATATCCCTTTTACAATAGTCACAAGATTGCTTTGCTAGCACAGCGGGTCAGTGGTTACAAGGTGAGCGCAGCAGGTCGGTAATTAGTCCTTAGTTTCTAGGAAGAGATCTTTATCCTTAAGGAAGTGCCAATATCGGGGGAAGCTACGTCCCTATCTTTAAGGGCATCATTCTTGTCTTTGGGACATCATAAATGTTTAAAGCAGATGTACAATGTGTACTCAACAGGCCACATCAGGCCCTTTTGGAAAAACAAGGTCAGGGGAAATTAGTTTGAAACCAAATGGCTTCCTCATATACTCCAATATATGCTATTGCTCTTCCTTTGTTATATGTCACCAACCCTAATGAAGCTTCTCCTGTCCTGTCTCCAGGTTTCTCTTTGTCCTCTTATCTTGACAAGGAGCAGAGAATCTGGGCTGTAGATTTGCGGGTTACAATAGCTGAAAAGAGGAACCTAGGAAGCAATTGCAGCTGTAGAGAACCAAACAGAAAGCTTCTGGCAGAGACTTTTTCTTGTGCAGTTCTTCTCCCTTGCCAAGGAGTGTCCTTGCCCCTTCTTAGGGTCTGGAAGAGTGAAGGAAGATATTAATCAGGGCGTGGAGCTGGCTCCTAGAAGTGGTCCTTGGACCCTTGCTTTCCTAATCAATATAATATATAATCAGCAGCCCTTCTATCAGGAAGATGGAAGCCTGGAAAGTTTGTATGGGCCCCACAAGCCTGGGGGAGCATCTCAGTCACAGCTGTGGATGTGTGGTGCTAGAGTGGCATGAAATTTGAAAATGCAATGAGATGAGCCAAGGTCAAAAACTGGAGAAAAGTCCAAAGTGGGTGTTCAAAGTAATCAGGCCTGAGGCAGGCGCTGGGAGTCAAAGTGTGAGTCACAAGGAGTGGCTCAGGGAAGAGGAGAAGCAGCAGCAGTAGACGGCAATGGAAAACAGGAGACCCGGGAGATCAGGGGCTGTCGCCTGTGACTGACATGCTCCCAGGTAGATAGTCACACCTGGTTCTGCACTTGCAGGGGTGTCCCAAGAGACTCACGGATAGACTCAGCTTCTGCTGTGGCCTGCTGGGAGATTATATGCAGAGCAGGTTGCAGAACCCAGAATTCCTTCAGGTTCTCCCCTGCCTGAGGGGAGCAGGATTGGCCGATTCATTGCGTTTTTCTTCTGAGGTTCCATGACAAAGTCCTTCATACCCAAGGGAGAAGGTGTTTTTTCGTTACCAATGGCATCACTCACTGAGGAACAGTTTGCTTGGTCTCAGCATTGTTGAGCAAGTCAGAGGGGAGACTTAGCTTCATGAAAGTTTCAAGTTGGGACAGAAGCTGGACCTGGCCTTTCATCCCACGTGGCCATCAGTCAAAGAATTTGGGCATGCACCCATAATATGTGTATAATTTATTTATTTATAAGTTACTTACTTATTATTATATAGAGTGAATACATTATAAAATACACCAACATAGAAATTTTTAAATAATGAAATAAACATTTTAAAACATTTTTTTTTTTACTTTATTAACAGCACCAAACTAATTTCTCTTGCTAAAAACGATGATTAATTATAACGTTCTGGTTTCTTGAACATGTTCATCCTGATGGCTTCATACTGGCTGTAGCTAATATCCCAAAACACACTCTACACCTAGCTGAGATTCAGCGTTGGTGCTGGTTAAATGCAAGTCCATATTTCAGTTAGTCTTCTGGATAATTTTTAAGTTTGGGGGGATTTTGGAGGCTGACTTTTTATAGTTCAATTGGGTTATCATCATTTCTACTTTCTAATGTGGCTGAAGAAAAGCTCATACTAAAAGCGTCCGTTTTGCCATTTTCTTGTTTTTCACCGATGTTGTTATCATTATCTTCCAAATACAGCGCGCTTTTTGCAGGCATCTTTTGAAGACAACTGTCCGTTTTTTCAGGCTTCGTTTAGTTAAAACCAGATCATATAGTCCATGATCGCTGCATGAGTAAACTGCAGGGCATTCTCACGCCCTGAAAGCAGATGTGCCAGGGCTGGCCCCACTCTTCATGCCTTTGTGGTTTGGAGCTTCCACTGTCAGGAGGCCTCCAGAACTGCAGGTGACCTGACTACATGAGGGATCCAATGACAAGCTGAATATCAAATAGTAGGATAAAGTAATTTCTTATTTTATATATTTCTTATTTTATGTGAATAGAAGTTTGTCTATTCTCTTCACACCACCAATGGCATTGTCTTATGTTTCATCTGAGATGTGTGCACCCTATTTGAGAGACCACAGGGCTAGAGTGATGGTTCTTAGTTTTGATTTGCAATCTTCTTTCACTGGAATCCTCTTTCACTGGTTCCCAGATAGGGTCCTGGAATCTGCATTTTAGCAAACAGACTTGATATTCCTAATACCAAGATAATTTGTGCTTGGAATCCCTGGGACAAGCAGGACTCCCTGGAATCAACATTCTTTGGCCACATACAGGGCCTGCCTCTATACGATCAAGAGCCTGGTCCTGGAGGTTCTGCTACCCCATTCTACGAAGGGTTGGAGCAAGCCTTTTGTGCTAGGATTGAGCCGGGAATGGGACCTGGCAGTCAGGCTGGTAGGACTGCCAACATCTGCCTAAACTGTAAGTTAGAGGGGGTATCAGAGGCCAAAACTCGAGGACAGCAACTCTTTGTGAGAGAGGTGGCATATAACAGGACTACACATCTCTGTTGCTCATTCGACAGCAGAGCACAGTTCCTATGAGTAACTGAGAATCATCATTATTCAGATACACGAGGCTTCATTCTATCCATGGAAACCCAGGAAATCGGGATATTCATTCCAAATGACTGCTATCCTGCATACACCTTTAAAAACTATTTAGAACAGATATACATATCATCATCCTCATTATCATCATTTCACCATCATTGTCACTATTTTCAGTTTGCAAATGGCTGTTTTTTTAACGTATGAAGTGGATTTTGACCCTTTCCTTTTTTTTTTTTTAATTTTTTTATGTTTTTGAGGAATATTAGCCCTGAGCTAACTACTGCCAATCCTCCTCTTTTTGCTGAGGAAGACTGGCCCTGAGCTAACATCCGTGCCCATCTTCCTCTACTTTACACATGTGACGCCTACCACAGCATGGCTTTTGCCAAGCAGTGCCATGTCCACACCCGGGATCCAAACCAGTGAACCCCGGGCCACCGAGTAGCAGAACGTGCGAACTTAACCGCTGCGCCACTGGGCAGGCCCCCCTGACCCTTTCCTTTTAAAGAGGTGCAACATGAGGCTCACACTGGTCTCAGGTCGCACAGGTTGTCAATGGTGACGCTCAGATTCAAGTCCAGTCAAATGTCTGCAATCTAACCCTCTTCTCCTTTCCACAGCTGTCTGAAAACCAGGAAGCCTAATTTTCACAAAAGATGGTTTTCCTCTTGAGCAAGTGTTGCTCAAGGGACAATCTGGTAATTTTGTCCAGTAGAGACAAAAACCAGTAGGTACACAAAGTAATGATAATGGACGCCAGCAAATGCGAGATGTTCCTAGCAGTCATTCAGAAAACAACGATAAGGACAATACCAGAAGTGCCATGTTTTCTCCAAAGAGCTCAAAATGCTTTGGCATTGTTTTCGAAATAAGTTTCCCTACTATCCCCCTTTGGCAAGGATTCTTCTTCTGCATCCGAGTGTGGTTCTTGCTCTTATCGTCGCTGACTTTCACTGACCTCTCTGCTTGTGCTATGTGCTCACGCTGTTCTTAACGACCACGCTTCGCTTACTGACACGGGCAGGGTGAGGACCACCTGCACCAGCACCATCAGAACTGCACAGAAATCTTCATTGTATATTCGGTTGTGATGATGTTTGAGGGGGAAAAAACAAGAACAAAGCAAATAAATAACGGTGAGACACAGTGAGAGGGAAAGAAGAGGATTCTGTGAACTGGCAAGAGTAGATTGGAAGGTACATTTTCACTCAGTTGTTGAAGCACCTTGGAGCCAATCTATTCTGAGTTGTACGCACATCCCACTTATGTAGAACATGACTGCATTCTAGTCATAGAGAGAGATGAAGCACGGGTAACAAGAGGTTAGCACTTGGTCGTCTAGGTGAAAAGTATTCAGATGCCCACTGTTCTTTCAGGTTTTCTGTGGGTTTGAAATTTTTGAAAACAAAAAATAAATTTTTAAAAAGCATCAAAAAAAGATAATACCAACTGGAAAAATATTTGCAACAGATATGTCACAAAACTTCCTAATGTTCTTGAGTACAAAGAGCTCTCGCCATTAAAAAAGAAAAACCTAGGGGCTGGCCCCGTGGCCGAGTGGTTAAGTTTGCGCGCTCCGCTGCAGGCGGCCCAGTGTTTCCTTAGTTCGAATCCTGGGCGCGGACATGGCACTGCTCATCAGACCACGCTGAGGCAGCGTCCCACATGCCACAACTAGAAGGACCCACAACGAAGAATACACAACTATGTACCGGGGGGCTTTGGGGAGAAAAAGGAAAAAATAAAATCTCAAAAAAAAAAAAAAAAAAAAGAAAAACCTTGATGTAGGAAAAAGGACATCAACAAGCTGCTCACAGAGATAGAAACGCAAATAACCAGTAAAAATGGGAAAAATGTTAATCTCACTGGTAAGCCAAAGAAATGCAAATTAAACGATGTATTAGTATTTTTTCTTTATAAATTAGCAAAACAGATCATTTAAACCACCCTAATGTTCAGTGCTGGTGAGGGGCGGCAGAATGGGCATCCTTCTACTGGTAGAGGTGTGAATTGGCACAAAGTTCTTAAAGGCAATTTTTCAACACATGTGAGAAGATTTTTTAAATTATTATTTTTTAATTTAGCAGTGGCACCACTAAGAATTTATCCTAGGAAATAAGGAGAGAGATTCATGAATTTCTGTATAAGTTTGTTCATTTCAGTGTTATTTCTAATAGCAATAAATTTGGAAATATCTTAAATGTGAACAGTAAAAGAATAATTAAATCCATAACACATCTATGCATATATTATATAGCTATTAAAACTGATATTGTCCAAGAAATTTTAATGATGTGGAAAAATTCTCACAGTATATGTGGAGGGGAAAAGCAGATTACAACATTTTATTTCAATTAAAATTCACTTCTAAATATATAATCCATGGGGGAAAAAGAATTCCTAAGAAATATACTAAGAGAGTTCACTTCTAAGAGGATAGGGTAGACATAATCTCCCCTATACTGCTAAGTACAACTAAAACTCTGGATATTATATATAAAACAAACCTAAGATGACTTTGAAAGAGAGAGAGAAGAAGGTAGACCAGTTAGGGACCTTGGGACACAAGGAAGGACGTGGGATGTGGTTCCCAGATTTCTTTTTGCCTCATATATCCCATATCTGATCTACTTCATTTTTCTTCTCTCTGAAAAATTTCTTTTAACATTTCTTGCGCGACAAGTCTATGGTGACAAATTCCCTTGGTTTTTGTTTGTCTGAGGACATCTTTACTTCCTCTCCACTTTTGAAGGATAATTTTGCTGGATACAGAATTCTTGGTTGATCTTTTCCTTTCCACACTTCAAATATTTCACTCCAATCTCTTCTTTCTTGTGTCGTTTATAAAGAGAAGTCTGACATAGTTCTTATCCTTGTTCTTCTGTAGGTACAGTGTTTTTTCTCTCTGTCTCTTTCCATGATTTTCTCTTTATCTTTGTTTTCCGAAGTTTGAATATGATATGCCTAGGTATAGTTTTTTTGGGCATTTATCATGCTTGGTATTCTCTGAGCTTCCTGGATCTGTGGTTTGGTGTCTGTCATTAATTTTGGAAATTTTTCAGTCATTATTACTCAAATATCTTTTCTGCTCGTTTCTCTCTCTGTCTTCTCTTTCTGATATTCTCACTGCGTATCTGTTATACCTTTTGTTATTGTCCCACAGTTCTTGGATTTTCTGTTCTGTTTCATTCATTCTTTTTTCTCTTTGCATTTCAGTTTTGGAGTTTATATTGACATTTCTTCAAGCTCACTGATTCTTTGGCTGTGTGTGATCTACTGATAATCTTGTTAAAGGCATTCCTTAGTTCTTACAGTGTACTTTTATTTCTAGCATTTCCTTTTGATTCTTTCTTAGAGTTTCAATCTCTGTTTACATTACCCATCTTTTCTTGTGTCTTGTCCACTTTTTCCATTGGATATTAATGGATATTAAGATTAATATTTTAGCATATTAATCATAGTTATTTTAAATTTCTGGTTTGATAATTCCAAAATCTGTTATATCCGAATCTGATTCTGATGCTTGCTTTGTCTCTTCAGACTGTTGTTTTCTTGCCTCTTGGAATGCCTTGTAGTTTTTTATTGAAAGCTGGACATAACATATTGGGTAATAGGAACCAAGGTAAGTAGGCCTTTCTCTGGCTAAGAGTTACACTATGTTTACTGTTTGCTGTAACTGTAGGTGTCTGAGGCTTGAATCTCCTCCACTGTCTTTGTTTTTGTCTCCTCTGTTGTCTTTGGGTTCCCTAGAAGCTCCTTCTTAGATGGAGTCTGAGCCGAGCTGTTCTTTGATCGATGACCCTCTGTTGTACAGAGGCTCTGTAGGTGTGGTGGTAAGGCCTGTGCTGGGGAAGGCATTTGACAATCGTGTGACTAGGTCTCACTCTTTGAGTGGGTCTAGGCTCCTGGACTGTCACCTTCACAAGTTTTTCTCAGCATTTGCCCCTGCCTTAGGTGAGGCGGGAAGACTCGAGGGGGCTGGAGTTTGCTAATTGCCCTTCTTCAGGTCCGATAAGGCTTTGGTAAAACAGTTTTTCTTGAAAGCTGGTGCTCATTACAGAGAATGGAACAAAGAACAGAACTCTCTGGGAGTATTTTAACATGGTTTCTTTCCCCTTCCCCACGTGGGGAGCAGGAGATTTTTCTCTGATCTTCACAGTGAGAATACGGGGGCTCCTGGAGGTAAAACTCACCAAGTATGGGGTTCCCTAAGACTTAGCCCCTCATAATTTTTAACTCTCAAGCTAATCCATGTGGAGCCTACAGAGATTTGTTGATGAGAGTTTGTGTGTTCTTGCAGGGACTGGCTCTAGCAGCAGGCTTTGCTTGGGCCTAACCACCGGTTTTCGGGGCAGCATTTTTCCCTGTGATCTCAGTTCTCTAAGAGATCTAAGAAGAGATCTTTCTTGGTTTGTTCAACTTTTTCTCGTTGTGAGGATGGGAGTGATAACTTCCAGGTTCTTTACATGTTGGAACAAAGCCAAAAGTCCATAAGTTGCGCTTTTTTTTCTCTTTTCTTTTGGTGAGGAACATTGGGCCTGAGCTAACATCTGTTGCCAATCTTACTTTTTTTGCTTGAAGAAGATTGTTGCTAAGCTAACATCTATACCAATTTCCCTCTGTTTTGTATGTGGGGCGCTGCCACAGCATGGCTTGATGAATGGTGTATAGGTCTGCGCCAAGGATCCGAACCCACAAACCCCAGACTGCCAAGTGGAATGCATAAACTTAATCACTGTGTCACCAGGCTGGCCCCACAAGTTGCTTTTTTTTTTTTTTTTTTTTTATTTTTTTTAAAGATTTTATTTTTTCCTTTTTCTCCCCAAAGCCCCCCCGGTACATAGTTGTGTATTCTTCGTTGTTCTTCGTTGTGGGTTCTTCTAGTTGTGGAATGTGGGACGCTGCCTCAGCGTGGTCTGATGAGCAGTGCCATGTCCGCGCCCAGGATTCGAACTAACGAAACACTGGGCTGCCTGCAGCGGAACGCACGAGCTTAACCACTCGGCCACGGGGCCAGCCCCCCCACAAGTTGCTTTTTAACGATAATTTTACAAAAATGGGCATCAGTATAATCAAGAGATAGAATCATTGGTGGCTGAGTTTCATTGATCTTAATTATGTTGACCATTTTAAAGAACTGGAACCTGCTTTCAAATTAAAATTTTTAAGACACACACTGTACACATATGCTTATTCTTACAACTTTATTTTATTTTACATTACTCTCCCATGGAACTGCCCACTGCTTAATAAGAAAAGCCTTTAACCACTTTTGATCACTAAGTCTTTGCAATTATATAAAATAGCAGAGGTTGAAAGAATGAAAACCTATGAACTGTGTAGGGAGCAGCATTTTAAATATATTTAACATTGGCTATCCTGTGATTTGATTTTCTTAAACAAAAGACAGCATCTTGTATTTTTCTTTCAAGAAATGTTTTACAGTGTAGTAATTCTGTCAATTGTGAGTCATTTAAACGCAGCCAGAGATAGAGCTTTTTATTCATGCTATAATGGTCATTATCAGACTTGGAAGCTCTTATGCTTAATAAATAGCTGCAGTTTTTAGTGACTAAAATGCTGAAGATTGGTCTAATTTATTGTAATTACCAATAGGATATTTCCTATAAAATGTAATTTAACTAGGATGCATTGTTTTAAAATTACAGTTTGTGAAGCTTTTAAGATAGCAAATTTGATTTTAAATTCTTTTTTTTTTTTCCCATTTAGGTTGCTTCCAGCTGTAATTGATCAGAAATTATTTATTTTCCCTCTGGAATCTGAGGGTAAACTTTGGAAACCCCAAAAACAGCACAGTACATTTCCACATCCCTTTCCAAGAGTAAAGGTAGGAACAGAGAAATCCAGAGAGACGGAAAGTGGACTAGAGGTTGCTCAGGGCTGGGAGGAGGGGAGAGCCGAGTGACTTCTAATGGATATCCAGTTTCTTTCGGGATAATGAAAACGTTCTGGAATCAGATAGTGGCGGTCGCCGCACAACTCTGTGTATCTACTAAACACCGCTGAATGGTACAATTTAAAAGTGTGAATTTTAATGTATATGAATTATATCTCAGGAAAGTTGTTTGAAAAAAATTTTTTTTAAGATTAAAGGTAGGAAATTTGCTTTGTGTTCTAAATGAGAAAACATGTCGTTGTTTCAGGTATGGTCATGGTATTGTCAATTTCTACGTCAGAAAGCAAAATAAATCAAAACAGAATGCCTTCTAATTTTTGAACAAAGCCCTAGATGGAGAGTCTCCAGGTGGCAAGGGACAGAGCTCAGGAGGTTTCTGACTGTGTCTCCACTGGGTGTTTCTTCAATTTGAGTCCTGTTCCCTCTCGGACTCCCCCAAAGTATTAGTAGGTTGCCTCTTTGGAGTACCAGGTACTGTTACCAGTGCTTTGGGAATACTAACTTCTTTAACCTCCAGAGCAACCCTATAAAGAGGTGTCATTGTTGTCTTCATTTTATTGATGAAGAAACCAAGGTACAGCGACGTTCAGTAAATTGCCCAAGACAACACAGCCAGTAAGAGTCAGAGTCAGGATTATGAACCCAGAAATGTAGGGATCCAGAGCTGTGCTCTTAACCCCTCTGGGACCCTTTTTAAAATAAGAGCTTTATTGAGATATAATTTATATACCATAAAATTCACCCTTTCTAAGTGTTCAATTCAATGGTTTTTAGTATGTTCACAGAGTTGTGCAGCCAACTTATGGTACCCTTTTTATAATTGTTGTATTAGCCTGTATTTTTCCTTCAGTACACTTGCCACAATTTGTAATTAGATATTGGGTTGTATGATTTTTTAAAAAATATCTGTCTGCCCACTAAATTGTAAGCTTAATTAGGGCAACATCCATCTCAGTTTGTTCAGTGCTATATAATGCCAGGGGACTCTCAATAAATGTTTGCTGAAGGAATAAATGAAACCACTACAGTTACCTCTAAGGGTATGCTCATCCCCGTGTAAAATGTCAGTGCAGGCTGCTCTGCACTCCCAAAGCAGCCCGCTCCTACCTTTGTCCTTGCTCTTGTTACACTGGGTTCATTCAGCCACTATCCGTGGGAGACTTAATCTGTGCCAAGGACTGTTAGGGGCACGCTGGGATGGGCAATTCAGAGCAGGTCCCTGCTGTCATAGAACTTACATGCTAGTGAGGGGAGACAGACCATAGATAAGAAAATACGAGATGATAATAAAGTCTTGGATGAAAATAAAAGAGAGTGTTGTGATAAAGGGAGCTTAAACTTATCTTGCTTACTATTAAGTACCTGCTTCAGTTAAATTTTTATTATTTTGCCAGGAATCTTAGGAGGGCCACAGAGGGTCTACAAGTGGAAGATTGTAGATCTCTGCTTTATAAGGACGATGAAATAAAGTATCTGAAATTAGAACTGTTGTAGAAGGTAGAGTTGCTATTATTATTCCAGAAAAAAAATAAATGGCCAGGAATTAATTTTCCCAAAAGAGTTTTGACTCCTGGCAATGATTATAAAGATAAGGAATCTTATGTGCTGACTATAACCCCGGGTTCTTTTAGCTGCGGTGAGCATGGGTGAGCTTCATTTAGAAAGGGGCAGGGACTGTTTCCCATCCTGACTTCACCTCCAGGGCCTGGATCCCTGTTGATGTTTTATTCCTGATATCAGTGACATCTGCTTAAAAATGCATCACCGCTGGCACAAAAGATAGCCCTAATTTTGCACAGTAAAAGTCAATGACAAGCAGTGCTGTTTCGCCAGCTGTTCGGCAAGCCTACTACACCAACTGAAAAGCTTACATTATTAAGTAGTTGTGAAATCCAACTGGGATATTACCACCTCTAATTGCCCACTGCAGACCTTTTCAACTAGGTAAACCCCAGTTGCTCTTTTAAGCTCTTTTTCCAAAGTGGAGAGCTGTTTTTGGAATTCCGTTTCACACCAAAAAACTTAAATGACAAACGGTTAGGAGTTGCTCAGTTGTAATTAAGAATCATAATTAAGAATTGTTTATCAATCTTCTTTTACATTTGAGAAAACCATATTCTGATGGTTTTTCCTCATAGTATGTCTCAGCTCTGACTCAGTGCCAGCCCAGCCCCTCCTGGAAACATCTTGGGCGACAGGCACACGTGTCCTCAGAACAGTCAAGGAAAGGGTTTGAAATAAAAACAACGAAAGATGAGGAGGAGGGAAGAAGAGAAGGAGGAAAAGTTTATAGGCCAAGAGAGTATTTGATTTTCTTGTTGTGTCTGACAAGCTAAGTCTGAAGGCAATTTCAAAATAGAAATTCCTAAACTGTTTAGATCAAAGGACCTGCTTAGAAGCGAGATACAGTCGGTGTGTTTGCGGAGGAGGGAAAATAAACCCGTGTCATTGCTTGAGAGTTATTTCCTATGTTAGTTCCAAAAAATGGATGCTTTATCAATCAGACATGAAAAAATATAGCATGATCTAATATGCCGCAGCAATGTGTGAGATCTGTGTCTGAGACGGGAATCTTTAATTTTGTGAATTTAGATCTAATTGAGAAAGAAATTTTCAAAGTTTGATCAGAATTATTGAGGATTTTTGACATTATGAAGAATAATATGGTGAGAGATCAAAGAAGGAAAAGTCAGGGCAAGTAAGGGTGCTTCACAGATTTTCACTGTGAGTTATACCCTACTTCACACTGGGTGGAAAATTGCTGATAAGATGGCAGCTGGATTTTACAGAATAGAGTAGGGAGAGGAGAATGCCTGCCATGAGCCAACCACTGTGAGCTCTGTCTTAGAACGTAAGCTCCATGAGAGCAGAGACTTTTTAAAAATATTCTTTTCCTTTTCCATGGCTTTTTAAAAACGTTTTGAGAATATTCAAACAAACCAAACCATTTCTCCTTCACCTGGATTTAACAGTGTTAACCTTTACCATCTTTGCTTTATCTATCTTTTATTGAAGTGTTTTAAAATATAGACCTACTGATGTTTCACCCTTTAATGCTTGCACAGGCGTCTTTAGAAATGAACGTATTCCTACTTACCTACAATACCATTATCAGGCCTTAAAAAATTACCAATAATTCTTGAATATAATGACTACTGAGCTCACACTCAGATTTCCCCAATTATTCCCCAAATGGCTTTTACTGATCTTTTATCCAACCCTGGATCTGCTAAGATTTATCCATTGCATTTCGTTGTTTTGTTGCTTAAGTCTCTATCAATCTAAAGGAGAGAGACTCTCTCTCGTTCATTGCTGCCACCAGTGCCTAGATGTGCCCTGTGTGGCATCAGATGACAATATCTGGTTAGAAGTGTAGATTCACATCCTGGCTCTACCACTTACACTGGCACCTTGGCAAGTCACTTAACCTCTCTGTGCCTCAGCTCCACATCTGCAGAATGGGCGTAATGATAACACCCACCTCATAGCGCTTTGTAAGGATAAATGAGTTAACACAGGTAAATGTTTATAACAGGGCCCCATACATGGTGAGTGCTATATAAGTGTTAATTCTTCTTATTATTTGTTGATGAATACTGGTCAACCTCGATTATGTACCTAGTATGTGCCAGCCACTATTTTAGGCATCAGTCATACTTCTCTGCTCTCTTGGAGCTCACATTCTAGTTGGGGTGGGGTAGGCATTAGGAAAACAAAAAAGGATTTGAAAAGTAAATGTACAGGATGTAAGTTGGTGAGAGAAAAGCTGGGGAAGGAACATAGGGGTGTTGGGACGGTCTCACTTGTAGGGTGACACGAGCAGAAATCTGCTGGACGTGAGGGAGTGGTCATTTGGCTATTTGGAGGAGGAGCATTCTGAGCAGAGGAAACAGAACGTGCAAAGATCCTGAGATAGGAGAGTGAACAACAAGGAAGCCGGAGAGGGATGCGCGAGGGGGAGAGAAGTAGGAAAGGAGGAGGGGCCAGATCTTGTGGCCCATTGTGAGGACTGCAGATGTTACTCTGATGAGAAAGAGACGCGCTGGAGGCTCTTCATCTGATTTGCAACTTGAAAGGGTCGCTCTGGATTCCGTGTTGAGAATATGACGTAAAGGGCAAGGGCAGAAGCAGAAGACCATTCGGGAGCCTCTGTTAGCGGTGATGATGAAGTCCTCTCTCATCCTCACAGCATTTTCTGGGAAGGAATTATCGTCATCCCTATTTTACAGATGAGGGGACTGAGGATGAGAGATGATAGTAATTTACAGCTAAGAAATGGAAGGACTAGGGTTCAAACTCAGGTCTGTTTGACCTCAAAGTCCTGGCTTTTCCTCACCACTGTTAAAAATACAAAATCCTGGGGCTGGCCAGGTGGCCTAGCGGTTAAGTGTGCATGTTCCACTTTGGCAGCTCAGGGTTCGCCGGTTCAGATCCCACGTACGGACATGGCACTGCTTGGCAAGCCATGCTGTGGTAGGCGTCCCACATAGAAAGTAGAGGAAGATGGGCACGGATGTTAGCTCAGGGCCAGTCTTCCTCAGCAAGAAGAGGAGGATTGGCAGCAGTTAGCTCAGGGCTAATCTTCCTCAAAAAAAGAAAAAATACAAGATCTTGAGCTTCCTTCCTGTGTTTGCCCCAGGGAAATTTATAACTGGAAAAAAAAAGCAGCAGAATAAATTCTTTATTTTGTCCACAAGTAGCCCTAAGTATCCTCAGAATTTTCCTCAGATATGTCCCTCTAAACTTTCCCAAAGAAACTTCTCAATGTGGTGCTCCTAATAAAGGTGACCTTTTTACTTTCTGATTTTTTGCAGTAATATTAATGTGGCAGTTATGAAGCCACATTAGAATGATGTATAATATGTTATGATACTCTATCATCTGTAATGCTGTTTTACCATAATTGGTTACCATTCAATTGGTTTACATAT